ATGTCATCTCTCAACCAATGACATGATGCCACACATTTTTTCAAAATTTGTTTTAAATAAATGATTCAGTGGTTTATTTATTAATGTCCATATCATGCATAGCGCGTCTGATCCTTTGGATTAGTTTACTAACGCGTTTTGACATTGATACAATGGTCCACATTCTTTTGATATTATTTTTAATTTCTGATTTTTGTTTTAATTGTTTTAATTTTTAAAAATTCACAGAAAATTCATTTCAACTTCTAAAAATGTGAAAAAATTATCAAAAACACTTTTGATTTTTCCCTTTCTGGTTTTTATTTTTTCACAATTTTATTTTGTGATTTGGTATTTTTTTTAATGATTTTTCACTTTATTTGATTTGTTTTAATTGTTTAAAAATACTTTTCTTGATTTTTAAATTCTGAAAAAAATTATGGAAGGATCCAATGACCTCTTGACAAATATTGGTGACCTCATTTTATTTTGATTTTTGATTTTACTATTTTTCACAAATTTTGGTTTATTTTGCTTATTTTTTAAAATTTTAAAAATAGTTTATGACTTTAAAAAATTCTGAAAGATTTTGTCAATACTTATTGACTCATATTTGACTTCTGATATTTTTTTTAGGATTTTTATTTGGTGTTTTAATACATGTTGTGTATTTTACCAATTATTTCCTTTTTAAATCATTTAAATTTTGTTTTATATTAAATATATTTTATTTTATTTTATTGGTCCTGATTTGGAGACACTTGAGTGTTTTTTTTACAAGTTCCTCAACCTAATTGAATTTTGGATGCTGATAGGTTGAAAAACCAAATCCACCAAAATGGATTAATGATATTGATGATATTTGAACCCTAGTTTGATCTGATACATCCTCCTCCCTCTTCATCTTATCCCTTTCTTGTTTTTACTTGTGCTACATATTTTTTGTGAATAATCTACATATCATTTCTCTAACATGTTTGGTACATAGATTGCTATTGACCGGCCTCAAAATAGGTGTGACTTCTACATGAGTCCACTTACGATTGCTTAACATAGCGCTAAATTTGTCCCGATTCGAATAATGATCATTTGTGGCCCAAAATTATGTTTGTAAGCCCAAGTATGTTTAATTTGAAACCTTTGATCCAATAACTTTGAAATTCATTGTTAGGAGGCTTTGATTATATCAATCCTCTAATGAACTTCATAAATTTTGGTCTAAGTGAACCATTTGAACATCGCTGATCATATGTGGTTGCTTTGAGCACTTGAAATGAATGATATACTTGACAAAAAGCAAATAAGACTTGTTGTTGAGAAGCTTTGATTTTATCAATCTTCTAATGAGTTTTCAAATGCAAACTTCAAGATGGTCATTCAACTAACCCTCTAACTTCTAATTCACTAACAATTAACTTTACTTTATACCTTTATTTTGTGCCTTTATTTTTATGTACCATTTACTTTAGCATTTACATTCCATGCCATTTTTTTTCTTTTGCTCACTTAAACATTTATCTTTATGTCGTTTTATCTTTGCTCATTTGAGATTTATATTTTCTTTTAAAAACACTTAATAATCAACTTGAACATTAAAAAACTTTAAGGTTACTTGGACTATCTGGTTACTATCCTTAGCATTGTGGAGTTATGGATTTCTCGGACTTAAGATTATAAGTCTTGATACTCGAGGACCTTGTCGCTCTGTTATTATTTTGTCTAAAGTTCTTGGGGTTTACTCCAAGGCGGTGAGTTGATTTTCTTTATGTGCATGTTATTCTGATTTTTATGCTTTGTCTGTGATTGAGAATTTCTATGTATACAGCCATTACTCTGCCCAATTTTTTATAAAGACTTAATTCGTCTAAAGCTTGGTATTTCTCAGAGGTTTAGTATTTTTACTTGCTTGGTTTTAATCCAAATAATGGGAATTCTACATTGACTTCTTATGTTAATTTGGTTAGATTGTTATTTTCCTTAACTTTTAGTTTATGTTTTAGGACAGTCCCTTCATCTTCTCCCATCTTCTTTAATTTCAAAAATATTCTTCCTCTTTTTCAAAACTCTTCTTGTTTTTCTAACTTGAACTGTTTTAATAATAAACTTGGACTTAGGTCCATGTAATTTCAAAAAAAAATTCTTAATCAAATTTTAATCAACTTAACCATACTTTGACATTTTTCGAAAGACTAAAAGTCAATTAACCTCATTCAGACCATTTTTCAACTTTGGTTTTTTACTTTTAAACTTTTCTCAAAAGATTAGACTCTTGTTGATTCTTGTAGTGATGCGAGCTAATATACTTCTATGATATGTAGTGAAGTGAGATATTTTCTACTTGGGTGTTGAGTGAGGATTTGTTGGTTTTAAAATCCAAGTTATATCCTCTACTTTGAGATGATGCGAATTCTCCTTTCTCATAATTGTGGATAGTAAGTATGTCTTCCACTCGAATATAACGACGATTTCTCTTCTCTTAAAATTAACCAACACACACGTGTTTTAAAATTTTTAAGGTGAACTATGAATATCCTGATCGCCTATTGCATGAAAGGTGGTACGTAGACACTAAAGGTTCACAACCGCGGAGGGTGCAAAATTGTAAAATATATATTTCTTTTCTCATCTCCACCATCTATTTTTGTATACACCTTTTATAGCCAAAATACACGGATTTTCAAAGAGGTTCATGCGGAGTAGCGTAGATGTTTAGGATGTTAATACCTTCCCTTTGCATAACCAACCCCCGTACCTAGATTCTCCCCTCTCTTTTTTTGATTTATTCGCTCTTTTTCTATTTCCTTTGGAAATAATAAAGCGTGGTGGCAATTTTTTATTTGACCTGTACGAGTTAAGTCAATCCAATGCCTTAGTCTCAATATTTCTACCGCTATAAGTAGTACCAGAAAAATCACTCCTGAAAGCTCATCCAATAGACTATGGTGCCTACTTTGATACTAATTGAAATTTCTCTGGTACATGCAACAGATGGTAATACTGATTTTTAACATCAGAGCAATGTCAAGACAGATGTTACAATATCTGTTTTGACATCTTGAACAGATTTATCAAGTTATAACAAATACTTAAACTTAAACTGCATAATGATAAATAACACATAGAGTTGTTAACTCAGTTCGGTGCAACATCACCTACATCTGGGGGCTACCAAGCCAGGAAAGAAGTCAATTATCAGCAATATTAGTTCAAAGCTAAATTTCTCGTTTACAACTTCTCGCCTAATCCCTACCCAATACTACTTCTACCTAGGCACCTCTTAGATATGAGAAATCACCATCTCACTTTCTAAATCACCTTAGTGATATCTAAAAATCTCAATCTCAGTGACTGTATTGAGTATAACTCAACAAGAAGATCATACTTCATTACAATACTTAGCCAAGACTCTTGACCAAGAACAATACTTAGATTTGCTTAAAAGCTTCATCCAAGAATAATACTCAACTCATTGTCTAAAAGCTTATGAGTGAGAACATAATATCGACCACAAGTATCAAAAGATACAAGGATGACTTACACCTCATAATACACAAGAAACTCTCAAAACCTAAGACTATTTTTTCTTCCCCTAATTTTACAATTGTTAAGAGAATAATTACATTAGATTAGATTTTCTCTTTAAATACACTTCTTCAATCCATGGGTTTTGAAATCTCCATCAGATATTTCTTGATCCACAAGTTGAGAGTTGTATCTGTTGTGCAGCAAAATCTCCTTAAATCTTGAAATAAACAATACAAAATTTTCTAAATTGTTTCAAGCCCCAATTTAATAACAACTAGAGATATAAAACTTGTTCTAAAAAAATCTTTTTGACCTGCAAAACTTATTGAGATATATCCAAAAAGAATATTATTTAAATCTGTCAAGATTTAAACACAACAACACCTACCTGCTGTATAACAGAATAAATTACATCTTACTCGACATCTGTCCAAAATTATATTTTAACAAAATTATGTCAATCTCAAAATCATGAAAACTTAACAAAGTAGACAAAAAAAAATTCTCCAAATAAAATTCTCCTTAATGACATACTTAGGGCCCAAAAATTATGTCTGAGGCCCACAAGTTAGTCTTATACAATAAGTAATCAAAGCAACTATGAAAATATTAAAATTAGTTGGATCATTAACAAAAATTTCTATTAACTAATCGACAACAACAAAACTTTTTTCCACTTAATAATGTTGGCTACATAGAACAACAAAACTTTATCAAAACAAAAAATATAATCAAATATTTTTAATAATACTAATGTCTAAATAATTATAATTTGAGTTGACCCAGATATAATTGATTTTAATATAATTGAATTTGGTAGAATTGAGTTTAATAAAATTGATTTATTTTTAGATACATTTATGTAAAAGTGATTTAAATAATAAATTTCAGTGTAAAAATCACTGAAGATAAAAACTACAAATTCTAACTTTTAATAAAATCAATTCTGCATTAAAAGAGTCCAAACACCTTAAAATTACTCTAAAATTATTTCTAAAATTGTTTTTTATTCTCCCAAAAACTAAACCAAACATACTCAAAGTTATCTATCTTCAACCTTTCTTTCATTTTATTGACTGATATGCATCCATATCTTTATTGCCACATCAATAGCTCACAAGTTCAATAGTCTTTGATGAACAAATTTAGCACTCCCCCAAGTTAAAATTCACAGTTCACTTATGGTCAGGGCACCTTATCATGTTGTCTCAATTTTTCAAGAATAAAATACGGATGAAATTGAAATGTAATGCAATACTATTTTATATATTAAACAATTTTAAAACCACATTTTATACATTACATTTGATTCATACTTAGCTACCATAAGAGACAAAACCCTACTAATACAAACATGTAACATACTACAACAACAACAGAAGTACCTCTTTTTTTAAACTCAAACACCAGCATTTACTCAACAACTACACTAGTTGGTATTAAGTAAGATCCCAAACAAAGAAGTAAGACCCAAGTTAAATGGGCTTTGAAAAGCCCTAAGGACACTTGGTCTTATTGCCATGGGTAGTCATATCAGTGTAACAAGCCCCACAAAGCTCCCTATTACCAGAAGTACCAGGTGGAACACAGTTACACCTCACACAACAAGTTCCACATGCTCTGTTACACAACTTTGGCCTTGAATGCACACTACATCTCGAACTGCACAATCCTCCACAATCTACACTCATAACATAACACCAGAACCAAGTCAAATAAAAAATCATACTAAAATAAAAATAAATAAAATCTATAACACATCAATTGTATTTGTATTTTTTTTTACCTATGTCTTGCTTGAGCCTCCTGTTGCCATCTCGCACAGTAAGCAACTTATCAGGTAGCTGCAGTTCTTCATCTTCTTCTTCCATTTCAATCTCATGATCAGATGAAACCTGCATCAGAGTAGAGAGGCAAGCTAGAAGCAACAAACTCAGCACAAAAAGGTTACGTAATGCCATTACAGAATGTAGTAGTTAAAGGTGATGAGTATTATAGTTTGTTGATATTCATTTCTGTTTCTGTATGCTACTATTTATATAGGTGAAAAGTGTCTAACAGCTCATTTGCAAGTAGCTGAAATTACCGTCATGGCCCAATATTTGTTACATTATTGTTTTTTTTGTTTTTATTTCTACGTCTTTTGGACATTTTCTCTAGCGAATTCCAGAACAGTACTGGTACTATGTCGGTTCAACAATTGATCTAATTTTTATTTTATTACTATAAATAAGAATACAACATTATAAGCAAATACTACATTTTCATTTCATTTTATTTCACATACTTAGAGCATAGATATCGGCGGTCGTATTACATATTTAAGCAACTATGTATTAGAAAATAATACTATTTAAATTTAATTGGTGTGATATTAATATATCATGTTGCTGCAGAAAGCATTTTACCTTTAGTCTTTTGTTTCAATTATTTATTATATCAAATATAAAATTAATGTATATTGTGTGATTAGTGAGATCCATTTTAGAGTTTTAGATGAGTAGTATGAATAATTGTAAATTTTAGTTGAGTGGTTTAAATAATTGAGAAGTGTGAAATAATATATTATTTTAAATCGGATTAATTTATATCATCAAATTGAGTGACATAGATGTGAACACTCTTAGTGGCAAAATATATACAAATCTCGGGTATATCAATTTTTTCTGCACTTTCTGCACTGTCAAATAAGGTTTTAGATTTGTATCATCAAATATGTCTATTTAGTTATGCTCTATTTATTTACAAACTTTTGTGGGCACATACATAAATATAAGTTTTTGCAATTTTTAAGTTTTAAAAGTGTAGTATTCGCGGGTCCGTCCTGTCACACTTTCATTTACTTGTGAGGTGGTCTAAAGTTTTAGAACCACACTCTACATAATATCTGACTCATTCCATCTCATTTTTTGGGAACTTTTACTCTCGATCCATTTTATAAAAACTTTTACAGAAAAAACTTAAGTGATTTAGACATATTTTTCTTCTTAATTCTCTTTATAGGTTGGTGGTGAAGGTGTTGGTGTCTAGGCTCGCAGGGGTCATGGGGAAGTTGATTTCCCCCGAGCAATCAACATTTTTAAGGGGAAGCTTTTGGTGGATATTGTGGTTGCGCTGAATGTGATTTTAGATTTGGCTACGGTGATTAATCGAGAGTGTTTTGTGTTTAAAGTGGATTTTGAGAAAGCTTATGATTCAGTTAGCTGGTATTTTCTAGATTATATGTTGAGGAGATTTGGTTCCTTGTTAGGTGGAGGACATGGATTCAAGCTTGTGTTTTTTCTTATAGCTTTTTAGTCTTGGTAAACGGGTGTCCATCGGTGGAGATTAATATCCAAAAGGGTTAAAAACATGTAGACCATCTAACCCCCTTTATTTTTCTTCTTGTGGTGGATGGGCTTCATGCTTCTTTGAAGGAAGTTGTCTCGATTTAAGTGTTGTAAGGTTTTAAGGTGGGTTCGGAAGATTTGGAGGTGACTCATCTTTAATATGTAGGTGATACAGTGTTGGTTGGTGCTTCGTCTATTGAGAATACTTTGACTATTAAGGTAATTCTCAGAAGCTTCGAGATTGCTCCAGGGATTAAAATGAACTTCGCCAAGAGATGTATGTTTGGTGTTAATGTGGGTAGGTCTTTTCTAGAGTTGGCCGACTTTTTTATGCATTATAAGGCGGGTGATCTCCCTTTCAAGTATTTAGGGCTTCTAGTAGGTGTTAATTCTAATAAGAAAAGTACTCGGGAGCCTCTACTCAAGCTTGTCTCTAAGAGATTAGCTTCCTAGAGGAATAGATTCATGAACTTAGGTGGTGGGGTGGTTCTGCTGAATTCGGTGTTGAACGCTATTTTTGTGTTCTTTTTATCTTTCATGAAGATGTCTGCCTCGCTCTAGAAGAAGTTGGTTAGCATACAAAGGTGTTTTCTCTAGAGAGGTTCCAAAGGTGTAGCTAAGGTTGTTTGGGTTAAGTGAGAGGATGTGTGTAAGGCCAAGAGAGAAATGGTTTGGGAGTGAGAGATCTTAGATTAGTTAATCTTGCTTTGTTAAGCAATTGGATGTGGAGGATTCTCCAAGATCAGACATTTCTTTGGGGTAATATTGTGCAAGCTAGGTATGGGTTTCAGTGTTTTGGATCCCTGTTGGGCAGTCGGCTCAGAGGCCTCAGGAGGGTATCTCATTGGTGGAGAGACATTTCTTTCCTAGGGTCTCCTCTGGATTTAGAGGCTGGATGGTAGGATCCAGAGGGTTCTGTATAGTCTTAAGAGGATTTAGAAGAGTTGGGCGTCCAAAGTGGTTGTCTTTTAATTACAATTGATTCATGACAGACTGTCAACTAGACAGAATCTTATGAGGCGTAAAATTATGTCTGATTTTAGAGAAGCGGATTGTGTGGTGTGTGCGAAACGGGTTGAGTCGCTTGATCATCTCTTTGTTTTGTGTGAGGTGGCTTCGGTAATCTGGTATAGAGTTTTAGGTGTTAATGTCGATCGAGGCCTCTACCATCCTCAATTCTAGGGGTGTTTAAGCTGTTTCGGGGTTTGGGCTTTGGAAAGCAGACGTCTTTAGGCATGGTTTCAATCTGATATTCAGTGGTCTAGATAATTTGGAAAAAGCATAATAAAATCCATTTTAGCCTAGAAAGTTCCATGGTGAGTAATTGGATATCTGTGATTATTATATTGGCATGGAAGTGGGTCCAAGCCCATGCTCAGAGTTTTAGAGGTTCTCTAGCTGACTAGGAGCGAGAACTACTCAAGTGACTTGACATTTAGGGGTGTGTTTGGGCGGCCAACTTCCTTTTTTTTATGTTGGTTTATGTACAGGTGGTCGCGCCTACTTTCCTCCAGCTTGCTCTCTCTGAAAATTATTAGGTCCAAGACTTTTAGTTGATCTTCAAATTTATGGTATGGTAGATTATTTTTGTTAGTTCTTATCTGATTTTTCTTATGTAGTTTTTCGTTTTTGTTTCTTCCTCGACTTTTGCTAGGCTCTTTCTCTTTTAAGCACTTCTTATACTCTTTCTTTTTTTTTATTATTCTTGTACTGAAATTTTTAATTCTTTAATATATGATTCTTATTTTGCTATTAAAAAAAAAGTCATGCATGTTTACCACTCCTATTTACGGTTAGAATCATATTCAGTTTTTCTTCTTAGAGTAAATAGGCAAACTAACATCAAAATTGAAAACTTATTTAAAAACAATTTTCACTTTTTTTTTGAAAAAAATAACTATTTTGTTTTTGAATATTTAAGATAAATAAAAAAATGATAAAACTAATTTTTTTTTAAAATTTAAAGGCACAATATTATAATGCATGAGCTTTAAAAATTTTTGTAAATGGTTAATGTATTTTTAAAGTTGTAATCATATAAATATATGAAATTACAAAAACCATTTGAATTTAAATTAATTAATTTTATATTCTCTTAAAATTTAAATCTTTGATTTCAGTATGTAGTTAAGATGTTGTGATGCAATGAGGTTCTTTCTCCGCACTACTGTATTATTCTTGGGATTGTTAGATGATGGTTTTAGATGGATGCTACCGTGTGGTTTTTTTTCTTGTGATTACTTTCAGATTGGTGCCGCCAACAAGTAATTGTTGGATTCCCGTTCTTCTCTCACACGGAATGCTCGCCCACGTCGTTAAATTTTAGTCACTTAAGTTATGGGTATTGGTTTTCTGGAGGTTGTAAGAGCTCGCTTGCATGAAGAGTTGTTTTCTTTTTGGATTTAAATTGTTCATCAATATCGATTTTGTTTTCGTGGTTGGCGGTGATGTGCCTTACTTTTGATTTCTAATTCGTTTCAGATTTGTTGAGATATGTAGTTATCAAACGTTTGAGTTGACGCTTACACAATAACAATTTTGTTATGTTTCACAAACTTGTCGTCGTCGTTCCTTGTTATGGTTTGTTGAGATCTAAGCTTGTTTAACTTGAAAGAGCTATCATGTTTGTTGTGATTTTTTATATGAAATTGTTGGTACATGAATTTGTTCGTGTTTGCGGTCGATGCATTCACCATTAATTAAAATTTGTGAAAACTCACACAACACCTTTCTTTTGTCATCTAATTTCGTTCTTATATACAAGTTTAAGTAGTGTCTTGTTCTGCGTGTTTTTATTTATTTTAGACCATTGTAAATTGTTGTAATAGTTGTGTTCTCTTTGAAATGCTAACTACATTTAATATGGTTTGACTTAGTCAGATGTTGTTTATCTTTATTTTATTTAAAATATTAGTGATTTTAAAATAAAAAAATATTGTAATTAAGTTTAAATAATGATTTGAAAAATACTATTAAATAAATACGGTGTTCGATATCTAAATATGTGTACATAAAACATATCTTATAAATATGGAAGGAGGGAGTACATTGTAAGTCGACAATGAGATTACTACTTGTAGTTAGTAAGTACTTGGCTTAATTAAATATGATATATAGTATTTCACCTAGAACACTGGCCCATTTTTTGTTGTAGAGGACAAAACCATGGTCCAAGGTTGTTTCTTTTCTGTATGGATGGATGTGATGAGATTAGAATATTGAATGTAGCCAGCTGGATGAAGCTGTAAAAACTGTACTCTGCTCCCTCAATCCTTATCACTTGGTGAGCACAAACAAGAGAGTGGAAAACAGAACGAAAGAATCGGAAAGATTCCTAGAGGAGGGCAAAGTACCTTCCGTACTATAACTCCTTCACATAAACGTGCTACAAAAGCAAACACCTCTTTGCTGTTTTAACAGCTGTAAAGTTACACTCAAAGATTCTTATGCTGTGTGTTTAGTACAACACACTAATTATTCGATAAAAAATAAGATTACCAGTATGTTTGTTTTAGTTTTAAAAATGCATTTTTTTAATCAGAGAAAAGAAAATATAATTACAGGGTAAAATATTTTTATATTGTTAAATAATAAATGACATGTATTTAATTAAATTTTATTTTTTATTTTTA